TCTCTGAAGGTCCCACGGCGGCTCTAGTGAGCCTGAGCATCCCAAGTCCCTTACAGTATTCACAAGAAGAGTCCAGATCCTTAAATCCTAAGCTTCTACACTATAAGCCTTTGTGGTCTCAAAGACAGATTACTTCATCCCAGAAGGAAGGCTTCACCGACCCTTAAACCAATAAAGTCCCAACGAAAAGCCTGCAAAGCCTCATCCCTAAAGCTCCTCACCTGAAACCCAAATGCTAAACTTAAATGGTGCGCTGTAGACCCCATGTAATGACCCTGAAAGGAGCCCCTCATAGAAGCACAAACCTCTGTGATCGAATGCCGAAGGCGAAAGTTTTCGTCTGCTCACGCTGCGAAAACCCAGGAGGTTCAGGCGTTTGGGAGTAGGGGGGTTTAGGTTTCAGTTTGAGGGGTTTGGGGTTATGTTTCTGATGTGCAGCTTGTTTTTGTAGGGCTGTTGAGGGGTTTAGGGTTGCAGGGTACCGGCTTTTGGGGTGGTTGATTGTTGTTGAGATCCTGGGATACTACAGGGGTCGGAATGACTAGCAATATCTAGAACGTTTACAGTATTCCCTGATACTCCCTCTGTACCGCCAAATCCTCTTCGAGATATCAAGGCCCCTACGTTGGAGCCTTAAGTGCCTTAGGGTTTGGGGTGGGCTGCCTGGCAGAGGGGCTTGAAAGCTTGGAACTTTTCGGGCTTCTGAAGAAAGGCCTCAAAGGGCACCGCATGCAAACAACCACAGAACCTAAACGCCAGAACTAAACCCCATACCCTAAACCCTAAACTTCAAGCCCTGATTCTAAGCCCGAAGACGATGTGAAGGTCGATCCATCTCTGCAGCCTCTGGGGGCTACGGAGATGCCGACGAGCGGTCATGGCGGCCTAGGGGCGAGTGGCAGAGTGACACAGGCGAGCTGGGTTTAGGGTTTAGGGATGTTCAGGGCTTCGGGTGTAGGGTTCAGATCAGGGTTTGGGGAGGACTCCTGACTCCTGCGGTGCGGGTTCATGGTTGACGACCTTTCACCCTCCAAGGCTACAGTACACTTGGTTCAGGCTTCGGAAGGCTACACGGCTACATGGTGATGCTTCTCGAGGCAGGCCATGAACGGTTGTTGAGGCTCTTGTGTTTCTGTATACATCTGGCTACCTTTCTTGTAAGTTTCATCTTTGCATCAGCCTGGTGCGATCATGAGCGTAACGTCTGTCAGTTCTAATCCTTAAGCAGACTTCATGAGCTACAAGCACAATGCTCCCAAAAGCCCAACACCTGCGCGTCGAACGGCAATCTCGTCATCCTGAATTCCGCAGTCCTCACACCTTGACAAACCAAACGCGTCCACGGGTAATCCATGTGACCTTCGACCATCGGTAGCTCAGAGCAGTTGCAACGAGCCAGATTTCATGTCCGTTGAAAGGTGGCAAGCCCTGAAGCATGAAAGGCTTAATGACCTGCAAGCCCCTAAACCCGAAATTCTTAAACCCCAAACTTCCCAACTCTCGATCCCAAAGCGCCGCGAAGGACGTGGTGGGTGGACTTCCCAAGGCGACAACAGGTGGAAAGATGGCGGTGCCTCAGCTTGAGGATGGTGCGAGAGGTTTAGAGTTTAGGGTGTTTAGGGTTTTGAGGGCTTGGGGTTTAGGGTTTAGGGATGTTGAAGGTTTAGGGGTTTAGCGTGTAGGGATTGGGGTTACGGAGTTTAGGGATGGTAAATGATGGTAACCTCGGTTGCTCTGTGGTATTATTGCTTACGTTTTTTTTGTTTCTGGGTTTGGAATAAAAATAGTGTAGAAACCTCGCGCTGTTCCCGGTGGGCCACTGAACAACCCAGACAGCGCAAGCATCGCAGTTGTTGTATTAAGTATATCTGCAGTGCCTTCAATTCTAGAATTACACGACTAGCCCCACTGCTGCTCCTATTTACGGTAGCGCTGCTTTACGATTTGGGAATCGAGAAGCTAGGCTTTCGGGATTTTGGGGTTTGGGGTTTCGGGTTGGGCTTTTTCGGCATCGCTTGAGCGATCAGGCGTTGGGCTTCACGCTTCGGCTCTGTGTTTTCTTTGTGTTGTCTTTTCGAGAAAGCGCGTGGACTGCGGGGATCCTAAATGCAAGCCCAGAATGGTTTATGGCTTGAGAGTTTACAGACTGCCGCTTTTGACAGGTTCGTATATGAGTTGCAACAGCGTGTTGATGTCTTCATTCGGTTGGCTTTCCAGGGCTTGCGAGCTGCGGTTGTGGTTTGTGGTTGAATGCTTCATGGCGAGATTGGGGAGGAATCAGTGTCGAATCAACGGAGCGTGCAGAGCTTTCGGTTCAGAGCTTTCAGGTCGTGGGATTGGGATCAGAAACCTGGAGTTCTAGCATGATTTCAAGTTTTGCTGCTCAGCCTCCAGGCGAGTTGCTTTTTTCTAAACCTGTCGCATCCACATCCTATCTACCCTCTACAAAATCCCCAAAACCGTGGACACCCGTAGATAGGTTCGACGGCCGAACGCCCGGAAAAAGCTTCTCAAACTCCGAAAGTGCGGAGCGTCAGGCTGGAGTGGCTGGAACGATTCCAGATGGGGCCAAGGGTGGAGCAAAAGCGGCTGGTAGTTGAACTTCCTGGCGGTTTGTAGGGAAGTGGATAGATACAGGGAGACATAAGAAATCTACTTCGTGAAGGGCACAAACGCTGCAGACCCTAAGCCCAGTCCTAAACCCTAAACCCAAAGCCTAACCTTCTACTTGGAGGGTCGGGGGACTTAGTAAGTACCATAACCCCAATTAGGGTCCCTTTTAAGGCACTTATAAGTCTACTTATAACCTACTTACTAAGTCCCCCGACCCTCCAAGTACCGGATAGGCTGGAAAAAACATAAAGCGCCCTTCAGCTTCGGAGCCCGGAGTCAGTTTACTTTTCTTGAAGGTCAGGTTTCCATCGTAATGTAGGAACCTGATTAAGAAACCCTGGGGCTATAGCACCAAAATCGTAGGATTTCTATAAGGAACCCTCATAAAGGCCCAAGGGTTCTTAATCAGCTTCCTACAGTAGTTGGCAGACCACTAAGCCGCTAGTTTAGGGTTCAGGGTTCGGCACTCGTATTATGACCTTAAGTTTCAATTTCTAGTTGTGTTCTATCTTACACCAAGACCCTAGTCTGATCCTGAAGGCCCGGGTATCGTAGACCTGTTAATGTAACCCGCAGCGAACCCTTGAAGGAACTCTGTTCTCCTCCTCACGTTACGTGAAGCCCGAAGCTCTAGCCCCGACCTCCCAGCCTGCGGTGCATCCACCTGTGGCCGCAGCAAATCCGTGTATCCTCACAAGAAGGCCGCAAAGGTCCAAATATTCCTGCGAGTATTCACTCAGGTTGAACAAACAGAGAGTGCGGTGATAGCAAAGTCGTACACTTTGCGAGCAATTGGAACTTTAGGGAGACCATATCAGTGCCTGGCTCGGCTCAGAAATGCGCGCCACGTAAAGTTCTGCGTCTCGTGTGTAGGTTCTAGAGCGTATATGCCCAACCCACAGACAGCCATACATGCAATCGTTCCACATCACCTCGAACCTTTGCAAAACCTGAAAGCTTCAATCCGTCAACTCAGTGCAGGTTTCGGAACAGTTTGGAAAGGCTTTATAGGGGAATCATGAAAGTGTTTCTTGCAAAGCTTCCATGAGCCTTCCTAGACATTCCCCCTAAAACCCGAAGCCCTCTTTCAGGGTTCTTGGCCATGCCAGGCTCGTAGTCTGCAGCATCGGAGCCCCCCAGGACCTTTGCAGACCCAGATCTGTCGATAGACCTCGTTCGCACGATTCAATGATACAGCTTCGTTGTTTCAAGGGTTCGGTCATGATGTCTGGAACTGTCAGCAGGTTTTGAAAAAAGAGGAGAAGGCAATACTCAAGACGTATTGCTTCACCTCTGAAGATGCGCTACGTGCTACACGGTGTTCATTCATAGTTATGCGCAGCACCACAGTTGGCTTCAGTAGCTTTTCTCGTATGGTGTAGGGTTGGGGACGTTTAGGGACGTTTAGGGTCCATATAGGGTGTAGTGTGCGAGGATCCGGGCAGAGTGGCGGCAGTGAGCGCGAAAAAGCGAGTGTTGCAGGAGCATTGCAGGTTCAGTTTGGGGCTAGCCGAAAGCTAGGGCACTCATCGCAAGTCTATAGCGGGCTTTTTCAACCTCGAGGACCTGTACTCTATTTGGGTTTAGTTCAGATTTCACGCTCTCTTCTATGTCCACCTGGGTATGTAGTAGGATTGCAAAGGGGTTGCTCCCAGAGCAGGAGCCCCGAATCCTTGGGAGTTCAGAGCGTCGATCTTTGATGACATTAAGCGATGCAGACAAGGCCCGAGCCGGTGCAAAGTATTCGAGCCTTGGATTACATGATCCCGAGATTGCAAGAACTGAATAATGCTAGACCCGAAGCGAGCTCCTCAACGCTAATCCCTCAATCTTACGCCCCCGAGCTTGTACCCTAAATCCTACGCCCAACGAGGATCTCACACCATATGGGTGGTTGTCAAAATTATAGTCCCTCTTTGGGTCCCTAATATAATATGGCACCTATTATTTAGTGTACCCAAAAAGGGACCCTAAGTTTGACAACTACCCATATGCTAAAGGTGATGCTGCCCTTCCAAATCTGCGGAATCCCATGTCCAGGAGAGTTGACGGCCCTGCTCCCCAAGTCCTTTGCAAAAGCCAAATTCCGGGTGTAAGCCTGGAAAGGACAGGCTCCTAAGATGTGTTTTTAGGGTTTAGCGGTTTAGGGTTTAGGGTTTAATTTGGGGTTTAGGGTTTAGGATGCCTGCATATGCACACATGCAGTGCGCCACCTCGTGCAAGTAAATGTACACAGAACCCCGCGTTCTTGAAGATCGAAAGCAGCATGAAAGAGATCTTTGCACTATGGCTAATCCACAGCCTGAACCCTACATAACTCTAAACTCCTAAACCGCTAAACTTTAACCCTAAATCACGAAAGCCGAACCTCGAAGACCGCCTCCTAGGCCTGTGCTAAAGCGCTTCTGGCAGCCTACGTCCCTCGGCAGCCGATACTTGTGTTGCTGGGTTTTTGTTTGAGCGGTGTCGTGTTTCTTCATACCCTTGGGTATAGTCTAGTGTTCGGGCCGTAAGGCTTCAGCGATCAGTTCCTCCCTGAAGCTTCAAATCTACAGAGGTCCACCAGGCCTCAGCCCCCCCCCCCCCCCCCCCCCCCCCCCCCCCCCCCCCCCCACGCGCGACCATACACAGAACTCCAACAACGCGTAGCCGTGCGTACAACCCCCGCAGGCCCCACAGCATGCTTAGAGCTCGCCAAAATCTTAGACCCCCACTTCCAGGAAGGTGCTCATGTGGCGGGCATGGAGGCTGCACAGCTCTTTCGGGAGGCTGGTAGAGCACGATGTTTCCCATCCCCCCAAGCCCGATAAACCCGATAAGCCCTGTATAAACCCTATGAGCCCTATGAACCCTCCTATAACCCCCATAAGCCCTAAGCCTTAAACCCCAAACCAAGATGGCGGGGCGGGGCTGCGGGGTATTTAAGGGCTTGGGGGATCTTCTGTTGTCGACTTTTTCAGGGTTGCCGTTTTTGGGATTTAGGGTTTAGGTTTTCACGGTTGCCGTTTTGGGGGGTTTAGGCTTCTTTTTGTCTTGAATATGTGCATTTGGGGCTTACGTGCTTTCAGATGGTGCTGTATCCACCCTGCCTTTAATTTATTGGGTCCACGATGTGGAATGCTACACTCTACATAGCAGTTTCCGAACATAGGGGTCCCTAATATAGTACTTTAAATAGTAGGATCTCGATTATGAGGACCCCTAGATAAGGTACCCCTAATCTTCGGAAACTCCCGCATGTCTACATCGCAAGCCAGGACCCTAAGCCCTGTCAACATCTAACACAGGAATCCGAAATCCCTACATCCAAGTCGGACTCCAAAACCAATGCCGGAGCGTTTTGGAAGCCTGAAGCCCATACGCCTGAGACCCTCTTGAACTGGAAGACCTACACTCTAGAAGTTCGAAACCATAAGACCCGAAAAACCCCCAAAGTTCTTCTTGCATAAACCCTAAACCCCTTGTTCAACCCTACTTAACCCCTAAAGGAACCCGAACCCTAACCTCTGGATAGCTTCGACCTCGCACAGCCTGCAAGGCGAAACTGCCGAGACTCGAGGCTTTCGAGCTGACAGAGCCTGAGTTCCTTCAAGGGTTCCCCCCAGGATTCCTGAAAGGGCTCCTCAAAGGGATCTATCGGCTCGTTCAGGGCGGTCTAGAGTACTTATCGGATCATGGGAGGGACGGAAGTAGGGTTCCGTACACAACTCCTCGAAGGATTTTTTAAAGGGTTCCTTAAAGGGATCTACAAGGTTTCTACAGACAAAACGAAAAAGGTAACTGTAATTGTACAGTAGCTAATTGGAAACCCCGATCGACTTACTTATAAGCTTGGGGAGTCGGGGGCATTTAGGGTCAGTATTGTCGGATGCTACAGGTTGCTACACCCCAGTTGCGAAGCCCAATGCCCTGAATGCAATTACCCCTAAGCCTGGAGAACCCTACAACGGGGAATGGATCCCTGTGCTATTCCTTTAAGGTCCTTTATAGTCTTCTCTACAACCCATCCCCCCGTTCCCTCCTAAGAACCAAGCAGGCAATAAACCCTTTACCCTAAACTGCAAACCCTAAACCTTAAACTCTAAGCCTAAATCATCGCCTTAACCCTAGGGGCCCGGTTTCTTGTCAAGTCTTGAAGGAGAGTATGCAGGTGTAGGTCCGAGCCTGAGGAGTTTGAGGGTTGCGGATGCGAGCTGGGTCTAGGTTTTGGGGTTCAAGTTCAGGGTTGAATCATTGAAGGTTTGGGGTTTGGTGTTGGAGTTTGGGGTTGAGGGTTTCAGGGGTTGTGAGTTTCGGGTTTTGAGTTGGGGTTTATGTTCCAGGGTTTTTGAGTTTTATCAGTTTTGGAGTCTGGTGTTCCAAGGCACTGCGTGGCCGTTTGGAAGCTTCTCGACGAGGCCGTAGTTACTACGGTTGATGATATAAATCCTGCATTACCTGAATGACCCTAGACTAGGATATATGGTATATTCCTTATTATGGGTATTGCAGGATTTAGTTCTTCAGCCGTACTTGAAGGTGCTTGCGGAGTGATAAGCTCGGGCTGCCTGAAAATGTAGCTAGCCTGAAATCCTGTAGATTTCCGACCCGGCAACCTTTATGTGCTGAGCCTCAATCCTGAACCTCTTTCAGGTTCATTTGTAACTAGAAGCAGTAGTATGGCTACTTCAGTTGGGATTCGGATGAAACTTGATTGTGGCCACATATGCTTTCCCACGGCGCGAATTACATGCCTCTCCTTGGCACTGCGCACCACGAAGCCTTTGGGGCAAGCCGAAGCCACCGAAAAGCTTCAATCCCTCAGCACTTTGGTCGGTACCCCAGGCAAACCCCTATCCTCCCCACACCCTCCTACAGAGAAGGCCCCCGATGCAAGCTTTCAGTAGCCTAAGCCTAAGCCCAAGAGCCTCAACGCATCCTCCTTAGTCCTTCATCCCTAAACCCAAGCGCTGCGCCGACAACTTCCATCCCGAGGCCCCACACCCCCTTTGACAGAGGCTTCATCCCTGGCCCTAAACTCCTCATAAAACCTATCCAGCATAGTGATCAGAATCAGCCTAGGGGGTGTGGGAACATTATAGCAGGAGTCTATGTATGGACTACAAAGAAGGACATCTGCCCGAAACCCTAAACCTTCGAGATCAACCCTAAACCCTAAAATCTTTGAACAGCAGTGAAACAGTGAAAAAGTTTGTGTCCTCTTACGCCCAACCCCCGAACCGAAACCCTAAGCGCTGTAAGGGTATTTTGTATCCTTGTATGATCAGGCTCCTACATTATATCCTAAACCCTAAACCCCTAAGCCCCTAACCCCTAAACCCTACACCCTAAACCCTCCTAAACCCTGTGAGGATGCCGAGGGCGCGGCCGTGTCAGCGGACGACGCCCTGGAGCTCTACGCGCAGGCGCACGCATCGCTCGTGCAGAATGTTTGGAGTCTCGAGCTAGGGAAGGGTCTGGAAGGTCTAGGGTTTCGTGTAAGTTTGGGGTTTGAGGTGTCATGGCGTTGATTCATGGCATCAAGTAGTCAGTGTGTCAGTGCAATGCCTCCGTTCCGAAGACCCTTCCGAGCGACGGGGATTGAGCAATCTAGCCCCTGAAGCTCTGCAGGAGCAGGGACCCTGCAGGCGCGACGAGGCTGTGCGACTCTTGGAGGGAGAGGCCTTGGGCCACAGGAACATCCCCGTTCTCCTCATCACTCATGAAATGAAGCTTCATCTTCAGCTCTACACCCTCCACGCTGCGACCTAGAACCGAGGCCTTTCAAGACTTCCATCCCCGCAGGCCCCGCAGGCGGAAAGAGCAACCCACACCCGTCAAAGCGGATGGCCAAGGCTGTTCTACAGACGCTGGTGAGAGCTTACTGTGCAAGCAAGGACCTTGAGGGTTTGGGGTAGTGTTGATGGATTAGGGTCTGCGGTGTAGAGTTGACGCTTTGGGTCTTCAGGACTCGGGATCGCTTCGCAATCGGAAAGACAGCACACTCCGGCTAATGTCCCTGTCGGCCTCCACCCTCAGTTCTGTGAACCCTTCTGGACATAATCTTGCAGGAGCCGTTAGAGTAGTCCTGTAAAGCCTTTATAGATACCCTTAGAGGAGGCCTTACAGGAACCCCTTGTAGGAACCTCCGGAGTATAGTCCTCATGGGAACCCGTATAGATACTCGTAGGGGATGCCCTTCACAGGATACCTTGTGGTAGCCTCAAACCAGATTTCAGGGAGGATCTAGAAAGTAGCACGCCCACTTCTTACCTTATGCTACTACAGTACAGGGTGCTTTATAGGGACAACCATGAAGGATCCACCTTTGTAGGTCCTTCCAGCAGTCTGAAAACGTACGCTAGTTGGAAGCTCTCACGAGCGTCAGGAGTTCAAGCGGGCGCTAGAGGCCGCTTCCGATTCTCTCGAGCGCTTTCAGGCCCGCGAGAGTCCAGTGTTGGGGTAATGTTGTTTCGCCAGGGTTTCTCATGTTAGATGTTGTTTCATATGAAAAATGTCTTTTATTATTCCTTAGAGTTCTTGATTATTGTATACTCCAAAGCCTTATTCTGGCTATCAAGGCCCCTGCAGGACATTCGGGCTCAAGGGATTTAGGGTATGGAGGTTCGGCGGGTGTAGGGATTTAGGGTTTGAGGTTTACGGTTTGCGGATGTAGGGTCAGGATTTGGGCTTGTGGCCTTTGGGCTTTGGGGCTGTTATTTCAACAGCTCGGGGCCTTTGGTAAGCGGGTTATAAGTCGGGTTTGTCAGCTGCTTACGAAGTTCAACACTGCACTTTTTGGAGTAGTATCCGTAGAACCCACCCTAAACCATGTGCGCAGTACACCCTGTGTATCCGGTCCCTAACTAAGGCAGTCGCAGGTAAAATCTTCTAGAGCCGCTCCTGCAAGTGCCGGATTCCGGACTTCTGCAGCGTAAGCGAAAGCCACCTAGATTCGGGCGTTAAAGCCGGGCGTTCCTCGTGGTTGTACTACAGAGCTTCGTAGGAATACTTGTTATTGGGGACAGGTAATTACCAAAAAACTAATGCATGTACTGTTTGAGTGCTTGGACTCTTGGGGTTAATTCGAATCGGCTGCACAACGTCTCCGACACGAAAACAGAGTGTGAGGAACAGTCCTAGGGACCCCCCACCCTAAAGTAAAGGCGCACCGCAAAACTCCCCACCGCATGACTTTGGCAGAGTGCTGTTGAACCTTTCTTTCGCTTACAACCCAAAGATCCTACTCCTGCAGGGTTTGGGACGCACTCAAGCCCTAAACTTGTGTGCAGGAGTTTGGCGACAGCAGAGCTGAGGCTATCTGCTAAGGGGTATGGGTTGCCTGTTTTGGGATTCCTGCGGTGGGACGATACTTTGATGTGAAGCGGTGTGAAAGGTACCCCAATGACCAGGCCGCCTAGTCCGATGTTCTGCAAACTCAACTAACGAATTACTCTACAACCGATGTTACTTTGAGCAATGATCCCCAGAATCGAAACTTTCGTCCTCCTGATGTCTGCTTTCTGGTGATTTTAAGTCCTGTGAGCTTTAGCTTGAAGACTCGTGCTAAGTCGAAGTAGACTTGGCTTCGCGGGCTGAAGCTGAAGAAAGTAAGATTGATGGGCGGCCGGTTCTGCCGCTCTACTCCGTTAGCCGGAAACCCTGACACTTCAAGCCTCCGGGCAGATTCATAACTCAGCGCGACAGATGGCATTTCAATTACATTGCTGGAGCCGTGCAACGGTTGATGATATAAATCCTGCATTACCCGTAATAAGGAATCCCGTAACAAGGAGTATGCCATAATTCCCATAGTTTAGGACCCTTAAGGTAATGCAGGATTTATATCATCAACAGAAGCACCCCTAAGCCTCAAGAATGCCTCCCTCTGCTGGACGGCCCACTTTCCCCAGGCGACGGCCCTCGAAATGATGGCCTTCGCGTTGTCCCAAAGTGGCGACGTTCCCGAGGCAGCTTGAAGGAATGATTACTGTCTAACTCTTACAGGTTACCTTTATACATATATATATATATACATATTTGTTTTTGAACTTGTTTCAACAGGTTGGAACTTGAATTGAAGGGCTTGGGGCATCCGGGGTCTCCTTTTGGGCTAGCACTTTAACTCCAAACCCGAAGCCTAAAGCCGTGGTCAAGGCATTAAGCTGCATCTGTGTTCCCGGCCACGAGTCACGAATTTTTGCTGTGAGTCTAAAGGCATGCTTGCGGAGGAGATCTGAAGCAAAGTGTCGGAAAACCAAACCTTGAGTTTGAATCACACCAACGTTGTAAAGCCGAGACACGTAACGCGTCAAAGCACCTCTGTGGAAAGCCCTTTGATTCACACAATGGACTATAAAATCGGTCATGAAGAGCACGGACAGGTGGTGGAGAATTCGCTCTATGGCTTAGGAAGGCTTGAGGTTTGGAGACCAGAGGGTCATCATAGAAATCTCCACGTACCAAAGTCTTAACCGTAATCATCATAGTCTATACCATAAACTGAACCATAGAGTGGATCTTGAACCAAGCACCAGTCCCTCTAAACTTAGTGCTCCTCGCAAATCTTTGACGTTTCCGCTACATGCTGAACACTCATACCTTGAACACTAAAATCCTCAAAAACTTCGTGCAGAGTCCAAGAGGCCCTCCAGAAAAGAGTCCTCAAGCAAACCCTACCTAGACCCTAGCAAACCTCCGTGTCGGGGTTCCTCATTGTGATGTAGTAAAAAGGTAGGATATTCGGAAGAAGGGAAGCCCTAAGCCCCCAATTGCTGTGCCTTGCAGAGGCCATCAAGCGAATGAGGCAGCAGGCCTCTTCAGAAAGCCCAATGTGCTGTGTTGCTAAGGGCGTATATGTTTCGGGCTTGGAGTTCTGAACTTGGGGGCTTTGGGGTATATGCTGATGGGTTCAAGACTGAGGGTTTACTGCGGTTCGTATGGTTCAGAGCGTCTGGGCCGTTCATCCCCTAAACCCTAAACCCTCGGTAGAGTAGCTGCTTGTGCTCAGGGTAGTTCTGTGGCAACTTTAGGATGAGTATCTGGCGAGTAGTTGAGAGTTTTAGAAGATGAGGCACACCACTATAGACTAAATGTCGCAGCATCCTTGATTTGAGGACCTCCTCAGAAATGAATGCCCTAATCTGTGTATATAACAAGTCGCCGAATGCCGACTCCTATGCGTCTGTTGGATGCTTCCTTCGTGGATGATTAATGTCAGCGGAATGGGGGATCCGAAGTAGACTTGCTAAGCCAACAAAGCCTCCATGCCCGCCGCTGACCTTAATTTCCGGTCCCCAAACCCGAAGCTTTGGAGGGCTAGACGATCGCTTCGAGGTTGAATAACGTGTAGATCGCAGAAAGACACTCTAACTGACTCGAACTGTTTTCACAACACTTCAGCCAGCAAGCCGGAAGCCCGAAACCCTAAAAGCCTAAAATGCACTCTAAAAAAAGCCTTAAACAACCTGAAGCCCTTCGTTGCGAAGATGGCACTTTTCCATAGCCTGGAAGACAAGAAGGCCCAGTCCCGCTCGCCCAGAGCTCAGCACCTCCACTGGGCTTGGGCCTTCATTACGGGTCCTTATATTGGGGTTATAGGCCCAGGGTTCTTAATCAGGTTCCTACATTCTGTTCCTGGGGCGTCGGTTGTGGGAGTTTTGGTTTGTGGTTTTTGTCAAGGATTTGTCAGGGCTTCGGTTTGAACGGTCGAAGGCTTCGGGCCTTATGCCTTAATTTTCAGAGCATCTGAGGGGACTGGGATTCAGCGTACGCCTCTAAGCTTTTGTTTAGCGGGGGCTTTTGATTCCGAGACCAAACCTTCAACTTGAACTGAGGGATTTTGGAAGATCTGGCTCAGTACTGGGAGGCTGTCAAAAACACCTCCAAGCTCTCGACGCCAACAAACTTTTTGGATCCTAGCTGGTGGAACTGTGCGGAAGGCTGAAGCCAGTAACCCCCGAAAAACGCTGAGACCCTGATGTCTTGACTGGCATCCGACATGAAGCAGAGAATTTAAGCATCCTAAACCCCGGCACCCTGAAAACCCTGCACACCCTAGAGCACCAAGAGGGGTTCCTAAGAGAGCCCGAGGGATTTCTTGCGATTGACGGAATCCTAAACCTATAACCCGTTATGACTTGCGGAGTTTCTCTCCTAAAACTCAGACCATACATCCCACGCCTTCAGCCCCCAAACTTGAAACCCGAAGACTACGGGGTACTAGGCACGCGCTCATCTAAATCTTAAGCCCCACGCCCCTAAAATCTAAACCTTCAGTCCCACTATATAGACCTCAAACTCTGTAAGAGCAGTGTCAAAAAGCTGTGCAAAAAACAACGAAAAGCCGAACAGATTCTACCAAGAAGCTCAAAGACACAAATAGACAAACAGAAGCACTTACAAACGCACGCCCTGGCTCTGGCCTGGCTTTCGTGCAAGGCTACGCACTCTTTGCCGGCTGTGCCTCCACTGTGGGGACACCGAGCAGGGCCAGATCGCAGCAAAAGAGGCGCCTGGAGGGTTCTTCTTCTTACTAGTTCACAGAGGCTCCATAGTAGTTCCTTGTTGTGGTTCATATTTAGAATCCTAAAAGGTAATGCCAAAATCGGCTCCATAGTAGTTCATATTTAGAATCCTATAAGGTAATCCACAAAAGGAACTACTGTGGAGCCTATGGGTAATGAGTATGGTGCTTGCCTTTAGTCCTGCTTGCTCTTGTTATGGTAGGGTTCTTCTTCTTAATGTTGTTGTAACTACATGATTACATGATGTAATGAATTGCTGTACTATTGTTCGCAGTTTTCTTCTTATTCCGACTCGAGTAGTGTTTAGGGTTTCGGGTGTTTGAGCTTTTCAAGACTGAAGCATTGCACTTAGGGTGGTTTAATGCTTTCTGGGTTGAGGGTTGCAGAAAAGGTGTTTCCGGCGGGAGTTTAGAGCGTAGGGTTGAGGGTTGTGAGTGCGGGTGATGCGGGCCAGATGGCGGTTTGGGAGCAGGATATCAGGAACTCAGGCTTGAGCATAAGTTGGGTCCAGGGTTGAGGGTTTAAGGCTTTGGATGTGGGGCATCTTCTCACAGAGGCTTCACAATGCTGTAGCCCGAGTAACCCTTCTAGTACTGAACCCTTCAGAGGAGCCCTTTGAGTCAACCCTTGCCATACGAACCCTTTTCGAAACCGTACATTCCCTAAGCCCTAACTCCTAAACCCTAAAAAGGAACTTGTAAAGCTAGAGGAGCCTTCAAAGTTCCAACCTAAACCCTAGAGGCCTGAATAATTACCTATACCATAGTGGGCCTCCTTATTAAAATTATCGTAGAGTATACTCCAAAACCCTCTTCTGATTAGTAAGGCCCTATAATAAACCCTACTTGGAGGATCATGGGACTTAGTAAGTAGGCTTATAAGTACCTTAATTGCGGTTATAAGTAATTGTAAGTACAGTTACCATAATTATAACCCAAGTTACTAAGTCCCATGATCCTTTAAGTAGCCTTAAAGCCCCTTCATAGAACTCTTATAGATCCCTTCAAAGGAGCCCTTATAGAGACCTTATAGATACCCAGTTCCATGACCCTTTAAGTAGACCCCTAAAGGCTCTTAAAGCAGCCTTGTCAGGCCTCGGCCTTGTCCGAGGAGCTGCGGCTCCACCGGGAGCAGGCCGTACCATGGGCTACGGTTTAGGGTTTAGGGTTTAGGATTTAGGGTTTAGGATTTAGTGTTTAGGGTTTAGGATTTAGGGTTTAGGATTTACGGTTTAGGGTTTAGGGTTTAGGATTTAGGGTTTAGGATTTACGGTTTAGGGTTTAGGGTTTAGGATTTAGGGTTTAGGATTTACGGTTTAGGGTTTAGGGTTTAGGATTTAGGGTTTAGGGCCTTTCGAGTGGATTACTGCCCGAAGGGTCCATGGAGTATGTACATTGGCCTTAAAGTAATCCTTGTATGGGTACTTTAGGCCAAAGTGAATGACTATAGGGTTTCGGGTTGGGGTTTGAGTTTAGGGCTTATGGTTTGCGGTTTTGGGGTCGTGGTTTGAGGTTAGGATTTAGGCTTAGAGTGGATAACTGCCCTAAGGGTCCATGTGCTCATACGGGTGGTTGTCAAAATTATGGTGCCTGTTTGGGTCCCTATTATAATACGGCCCCTATTATTCAGGGTGCCCAAAAAGGGACAACTACCCATATAGTAATACATTGGCCTTTAAGTAATCCGTATATAGGTACTCTAGGGCCAAAGTATATACCATTTTGGTACATTGAGTTGTCATATCAGTTCAGGCTGTATAGGGTCTTATGAGGGTTTTTGGGTTTGGTCTTTACTTTGAGGGTTCTTACAAAGGGAAGAAGCACATGAGGGTTTCAATGGGTTTCACCTTCGATTCGAAGAAGAAGGTAACCCTGAACGCCGCACTAAACCCGAAACCCTTGATCCAACACCCCCAAACCTTTCTAGATGTTGTATGCAGGGCCGCTTCTGTAGCGCAGGAGATTTCAGGTCCATGTCTCTCCAGCCCAGATATGTGTTTATGCTTCAGGGATTGAGGGACAACATTTGTTGCAACTTCCCTTCCTTGGTCGAGGCAGTTGCATTGCAGCTGCTTGCGGTGCGGTGCTCAGTAGTCTCGGAGCTTAGGGAGTGTAGTTATTTGTCTGCGTGACTTGGGTTCAGGATAAGCCCCCGTCAAGGGAGAGCGAAGCGCGCGAAACCCTGAACCTTGAAAGGAGCTCTACATGCTTAGCCCTTAAGGGACTCCCAAAACGAGCACGGACACTCAAAAAACTGAGCCGGCCGCCTTTGTGACCGCCTGGGCTCGGGCCAACATGCCAGATGCCAGACATGCCCAGGTTCTGAAGCCCGTTTCTGTAGCTAGAGTTGGGTTGAGGAGTTTAGGTTTTGGGTTGAGAGGTTTAAGGTTCAGGGTTTAAGGTAACAGCTCATGTGTTAATCTTCAGATATAACATTCCCCTTTACCTAGAGCAACAACTCCTATGTCACAGAAGACTTCAATCCATGTCAGGACGATGTGTGAAAGGCACATTGCTTCCTGTTGGCGGATATGGGAGTTTCCGAACATAGGGGACCCTGATATAGTAGCCCAAATGGTAGGATCCTCATTATAAGGACCTCAAAATCGGTACCCGTAATTTTCGGAAACTCCCAGATACATCAGGTACACCCACCACATGCGAATCAAGCTGATGGTGTAACCCACGGATCGATTTCTTTGCTAAGTCCTGGGTTTTTGTTAAGGGATGTAACGTTTAAGTTACCATAATGGGAAAATGTAAAGGTTCCCTGTAAGGGATCTACATACGTTCCTTCAAGGGTTAAGGGATTTAGTTCAAGTTATCATAATCAGGAGACCATGATACGTACTATAGATCCTTATTTTGGCAACTTACATTAAACTCCTTAGCAAGAACCCAGAGTCAGGATTACGAGGGCCTTGCCCAAGCCCAGGCGCAAACCCGTCAAACCCTAAACCCTCAACCGTACACAAACTGAACCCTTGAATTCCAGAAACCTTGGGCAACACTCTTGTGAACCTAAAACTCTAAACCCTCGAGCCCTGTTTTAAAACGCAAGCAATGAACCGCTTCAGCCTTAGATCGAAAGATTGGGCAATTACCTGAATGTTCAGGGGTACTTTACCATCTGTAGTAGGAGGCCGCGCTAGTTACGAGCATTGATGCGTCTAGGCAATGAACCAGGTAATCACTCACAGTCCGCCGTAAGCCCTAAGCCGCTAAATCCTACAAGCCCTAAGCCCAAAACCCCGAATCCTAAACCGGACCTACAGCCAATCAAAGCCAAACCTAAACCCGAAAACCTTGAATCTCATCAAACCCTGCCCCTAAGCCTAAGCCCCTCTAACCTTATTTCACAGGTGCATTAGCCCCACTCGGTGTACACCTGGAACTCCAAGCCCTCTTTGGGCACTGAACTCTTGGCCTTCAATGTCTAAACCTGAAGCTCTGAAACCCCACTCTTTCTTCCCAGGACTGCCAAAGCCAGCAGCAGTGCTATCTCGATGCCAAGGACACGGTGGCGCAGGCTGGGCCAGGTTAAGAGTTCAGAGGTCCAGCATTCCCGACTTTAGGTTTCGGGCCAAATTCAGGACCAGAAGCCTACTAAACCGAAATAATTAGTCGAGTTTTCCGATTTGACATCCGAAAAAATATTCTACACGGATAAACCTTCAAAGGTTTGATGTAGGGGCCTGAACAAATAAAGCAGTGATTTGAGGGTATATCTATATGTGGAAACCCCTCAGGAATAGTAGCAGTATTTAGTCAGGCTTGTATATCGGGGTGTTAATGTTTAAGATTTGGGTTTGTGGTTCAAGCTGTCAGGCATGACAGTGACCAGAACTTCAGAAGGGTTCATTAAGGGTTTAGGGGGTTTGGTTTTGGCCACGAGCTGCTCATGCAGCTGCGTATTTAGAGACGTTCGATGGCATGCCCAAGCAAATGGCTCTATGCAGAAAGCAGGGAAGAAGCTCTTTCCCAAGTTTGAATGCAGCTTCTCATGTAGCATATTGACGAACCTTTATGGCAGGCTCGACGCTTGTTTGCGCGTGCGGAAGACCATGTCAACGAGGAGCGTGGGGATCTGCCAGCTCAGACACAGGGCCGTAGCGATGAAAGCACCGGAGTTTGCAACTCCAGTGCCGTGATGAGTGACTGGGACTGGAGTTTCAAGAAGTTGGGAATCGGGACTCAGGGTGAAAAAGCTGAGAAGGTCTTCAGGTCCTAACTTGGATGCACTCGCAGCTCAACACCTGAAAGGTAAACTTGCTCCGTCAAGAATGTATCTTCCTGAAGTAGTCTGGATTCGCAAGATGTGTGGAACGGCTTGAGATTCAATACCAACATCCCGCTAGCTGCTAGACTTCGCGACTGCCAAGTTGGGGTGCGTTGGGCCAGATTGAGAAAGACCAGTCGTGGAGTTGACATCAGGTGAATAGCTTGAAGAGCACAACATATATCCGGACCCCCTAACACATACACTCTATGCCCCGAAATGCAAAATCTATACCTCATGCTTTGGCACAGGCTTCTGCCGCACTCCAGGCCGCGCAGCTTGCGGCGCTCGCCGGGGACCACGCCGGGAATCCCGGTTTGTTTGAGGTTTGTGGGGGGGTTTTAGATTTAGGGTTTAAGGGTTTATCCACTGTTTGCATTTGGGTTTTCAGGGGGGTTGATTGGGATGTCACGCAGGTGCCTTTCTATTTTTGTATTCGATGTTAGTGTATACAGACATACAAACATGTACACGCAGGGGTTTCGTGGTGATTGTGAGAGAGCGTTGAAAAGTGGTGTAGCGTAGTCATTTGGTTCCCATCTCAGCTGACTATGCACGGCTAAACCCTCCACTTGTGAAAATCTGGTTCTGCTAAGACTGGGTTGTTGTGCAGATGCCTAATAATGCGTTTTTGATCCGTTTTGGATCCGTTAGGGGATTCGTTTTTGATCCGTTCGGGGCTGGGGCCGGCTGGGTTGGATTCCAAAACGCATCCCCAAACGGATCCCAAACGGATCCCAAACGGATCCGAAACGGATCCAGAACGGATCCCAAACGGATCCAAAACGGATCAGAAACGGATCCAAAACGGATCGAAAACGGATCTGAACGCATATTTAGGAAATATTGAATTTCCAGAGTCAGCAGGCAGCAGATTTTCACAACACTACACCTAAACCGCAAACCGCGCTAGACCCGAGCCCTAAACCTTAAGCCTTAATACGAAGCCAGAAACCCGAAGCCCTAAGACTTTAAATTTGTCCCACACTCCTAAACCCTATCTATGCCCTAAACGCGAAGACATGACACCCACTCAATCCTATCGCCCTATACCCTAAGCCCTAAGCCCTAAGACCTAAACTTGCCCCCCCACACCCTACACTAAACCCTGGGACCTAAGACACTTAGCCTCAAACCCCAAACCCATAAACCCTAAGCCCTGAGGCCCTAAGACCCCAACCCCAAACCTCAAACCCTAAACCCCCTAAGACCCAAAGCCCTATTGTGCCGAGGCTGGGGCTGTTCTGATGTGCGTCGAAGCCCAGGCTCTTCAGGGCATCCTTAACTTCCGGGATTTGGGGTTTAGGGTGTAGGGGTTTAAGGGTTCAGAGGGTTTCACAAGGTAACACAGGGGTCGACATATTTAGTCACTAATATGCCCCGAAACCTATCATTGTTTTGCGGCGTTCATGGGAAGATTGTTCGGTCTAGTATATCGTGATACTTTGCAATACTATGCCTTATGCATTAGGGTTTATTGAGAGATTCTAATTATTGCACTGGCAATGAAGGAGCCTGTGCACAAGAGTTTGGTTTTGGGTAGACCCTAAGCCGGGTTTAGGGTTGAAGTTGTCTGTTGGCTTTTGTGTGGCTCTATTGGGCCTTGCTCAGAGGCTAATCAGCAGCAAAGCATTGGCGTTCTAGGATTCAGGTTTGATCGGATTAGGATCCAGCGGATTAGGATCTGTGATCTCAGCAATTGGGGTTTAGGATTCAGGGTTGAGGGGTTCGTGGTTTGTGGCGGTCCTGGTTTGCTACAGCAGTCGGCAAGCCGGCGAGAGTCCGGCACGGCCAAGTTCCCGAAGCAAGGAGGGTCAAGAGCTTCAGCAGGTCAGACAAGTCACAAAAGCTGAGAATCCGAGTAGTCCGAGCTTCCTGAGGTTGAGGGTTTTGAAATCCTAGACTACAGCTGCAAATTGAAAGGAACTGGCCAAGCGTGCATTCTGCAAGCACCTGGAATGCAGTGCGCTCGGGCGCCCAGACTGGCCCAGACAGGTGTCGGAGGACGCTTCTGCTACCGTCCAGTCGCATTCCGCAGCCTTCTGTGTAATTGTCTTTTTTGTCTCCACTGAATGCTGCTTAGCCATAGACTGGAAGTTGTAGACAGCTGAAATCGTGTGCCGGACGTCTGTCTTTCAGAACTTTCCAGAGCTTCCCGCTCGAGGTCGTTTAGGCTCCGGGTCTCGGCCCCTGGAGACACACTTACTTACACTTGCATCAAGATATTATTATCCCATTCAACCAAGCTCGCTCCCTGGGCCTGTCTACAGACTGGTGATTACTTACCTTTGGTTAGTAGGGAATGGAGGAATGGGGTACAAGTATAGCTACTATTACTACCATCCTTCCATTCCCTACTAACCAAAGGCAAGATTAGTGCAAACGCCATGGAGTGGCTCCAGGTAGAGAAGAGGTTTCGGACGCACGCTTTCGTAGTGACTGGTCTTATGCTTTTGTGCTCGCTTGCTTATGCTGCTCACAAGGTGGTCGAGATTTTTCACTCGATGGAAGCCGCACCGGTTGAAGTTTCGCTGGAGAGATGGAAGGGGTTTGGGGAATGGGCCTTTTGTGCTCTTCCCGATGATGGAAGTCATGTACATGATGCCGGGGTTGGGCTATTCGGCAGTTACAACGGCATGGAGAAGTTTTCGATACCTGGGCTGGTGCAGATGATGGCTCGTGATGAGTCCGTCAGAGCAGCCGAATCGCGTATATCGCGGACATCTCTGCCGATACAAATCATAGCCTCCAACACTGCCAATTGCTCCATCATGGATCTGCAGAACTTAGGACTTGGAAGCGCGGAGGGAGGGGGGGGGGGTGATTACACCCCCAACAGCGTTCACTGTGTGCAGTACCATCCCGCGAGGGGCTTTCTACGTGAAAAGTAATGGACAGTGGCAAGTTGCTGGTGAAACTAGAGGGGGGTTCTACCGAATCGTCAAGCTCAGGTCATATGAACATGGATGGCAATACGGATATGCTTCAGAGATTCAGAAGGTCTTCACAACCGCCGAGGAACGCAATTGGGGTGCACAACCGGGTTGGCTGTTAAGTCAGCTGTGCATGTGGAAGCACTTCGATTCTTCATCAACATCCTGGCAATCAGAAGTTTCCGCAACAGTATTTGTCATTGATGACCCACTCATCACGGTGACCCTGCAGCAAGGCGTGGCACCCCAGTTGTTCGCACTACTCAGCACTGTTGGTGGGTACATATCGCTGACGAGTCTGATCTTTACAACCATTTTTGTTAAGAAATATCCAAACAGTGCGATCGCGATTCTATTTCAAAAGCGAACACTATTCGGCAGACACAAGCCGGGCGAGCCGGACAGCGAGCTGGAGGATGCAGCACTTTCGTCAGTTACACCTGCAGATCCGCGAAGTCAGACCATGGGCAAGGCTCGGGAACTTCCTGAACTTCCTCCAGGAATGATTCTGCCGCCTGCTGCTAGCAAACGAACTGAGTAGGCAGATGTCCGAGCCATTGATCTCCACACGAGAAAGCATGGTCCAGTAGAATGACAAGCCATGCATATTCTTCTTATTCTCTCGAGCTTGTCGCCTGTAAGAAGCAGCGACGCTGCCATGCCGCCGCACCCTGCGGTGCGGGGGTCTTTCCAATCTTTCGCTTGGCAGTGCCGGGAGGCGGCTTAGCCGCATCCTGTGCCGGGCTTTCGGCTCTCGGGTGGGTTCTTAGTCCACTTGCCTTTAGGGACGCGGTCTTCCCGCCTGACAGCATACAGTGTTTCGTTTCTCCGACCCTGCGTGACTGAGAAAGCATGCAACCCGTTCCTCACGGTTCAGACATCCCAGTGCTCGCTTCATCATGTGCTCCAAGTGAGAAAAGACTTGGTTGCCGTATGGCTTGAAGCTACCTGTTGCAGGGGTATGGGGCTGGACCCATCTCTCGGTCTCGTTAAGTTCCAAGCCAGGCTCCGTGCAAATCAACTCCTGAATATGTTGCTGAACAACTTCTTTTACCTGACCAGGTCCTTCAACCAGGGCCCTTCAGAGATCCCTAAGCGCACCACAACGAGACTGCAAGTAGCCCAGAGACTCCAAAACCACGTAGTCAAGGAACATTTGGAGTCTTTTGCAGCCAGTTTCGAGGTACCATATGCTCACCGGCCTGCACCTAGCTGGGCGCCTACGTCAGTTCACGCGGTGAGACCTTTTTGATGCCTCGAGTTTCGTCATAAGCTTGAGAAGACGGAATGCTTCCACACCCTGAACCCCAATCCTCAAAACCTAAAACCTTACCCCTAATGTCTGAGCTAAGGAGTCTGGCCAGCTTAACGATGCCCTTCGGATGATGAAGAAGGTGGCAGGGTTGCGCGGGGGCTGTGAATTTGCTCAGCCTGTCCTGTCCCCTGCTGCAACGAGCTTCAGCTCTCGTGCCAGTCCTGGTGAGAACCCAGACATTCCCAACCTTGAGCAATGAACATTCCTTGAATGGTAGTGGGATCCTGTGGAAATAGATGCCCCCGTATGGGGCTTCGTCTTCTCGATCTAAGCAGCGTGTTTCTCACAGGAAAGCAGGGTCGAGGACCATGGGCAGCACACGCACTCGAATTTCTCCGCTTAGCAACACAGTGACATGCGCTTCTGTGCACAGCATGACATTAGCACGATTGGCTACTGTGCAGAGTTGGCTTCAGCCGATCATGGCATAAGGTGCCGCTGGCTTTTGCTGTTCATGGCTTCGAACTCACTTCTGAAGCCCATCCGCTGCAACAAGTAGACCCTCAAGCACAAGCTTCATTTATGCACACTATACACGACAAGGGGGGGCAGGGTCATCAACATATCCCTGGTATACGTTTAAAGTTAAGAACACATGAAACCCTAATAAGACTCTGCACTTTTTGAACTACCCCATCCGAAGCGGACTGGAGAGAGGCTCTGACGTGCTCCCGGCAAGAGGGGAACAAGAAGGCCCACGGTTTCAGTGTCTCATTTTGTAGTGTTATGGGCTGAGTGAAGGTTGAGGGGTTAGGATTTTATGGTTTGGGGATCAGGAGTGGTAGTCCCCCGTAGTCCGCAACAACAGTATAATATGTACAAACTCTTTATACCGTAACAGACCCCAGAGCCCTCTTCTAATTCTTAAGGCGGACTAGGTCGGCAGGATGTTGGATCATTGGTTTCTGGGGTTTTCGGGCTTGGGGTTTGGGGTTTTGGGGTTTGGACTTAGGTCAATGGGGCTTAGGGTTTAGGGCTTTTGGGTTTGGGATTTTGGGTTTCGGAAGGTTTGTGGGCAGGTTCAGTCCCGGGGCTTCGAGGCTGAGTTTAGTTTTGGGCTTGGGGCCGTGTTGGATCTTTGAGTCGCTTGGAGGGTCGGGGGATGTAGTAAGGACTCGTTTTATGCACTTACAAGTATCATAACCCCGATTATAGGGTGGCGTTCAGGGTATTTATACCTCTATACAGTAGCTACTTACTAAGTCCCGCGAAGCTTCAATGTAGGCTCTTTCACGAACCGGAGGAACTGCGATTCTCCGGCTTCCGATTGTCGCATCCGTGGGGCTTCCATGGATGATGCCTGAAGCTTCGGCCCTGGGCCCCCTGAACCCCCAAGCCCTACAGTAGAAGCCAAAAAGTTGGAAACCCAACTGCCTCAATCCTTAAGAGTAATGTATGGGGAATCTTAGCACTATTTGGCTTTAATCCGGTTTCCAACTTTATGGGGATTACGTAGCCCAACGTGATGTCGAAGTCTTCGGCGCACAGCTATGCACACAACCAGCTCTGAGACTCTGGGCTGAGGTTTGTGGCTTCGGCACCTAGGGCTCACGGAGGCGACCATGATGCCTAAACCCTACTCACATGTTGTAAGGTTACAGGTTTAGGGCTAGCACAACTTAAGGAGACAGTCGCCGAAACGCAAGATCGCCACTCTTGGATCCTACAATCCCCACCCCTCTAACACCCTTATGAAAGCAAAGTGAAGCACAAGATTCTTACAAAACCCAGAGCTCTGGAATTCGGACCCTGAGCGATGCAGCAATGCAGGAGGAGTCCAAGTGCCTCCTCCTTGCGGTGATGGTCAACTTAGCCATCTCGAACAAGGCCTTCTCCAAATCGCTTCTCAGAAGGGTTTAAGGCTTCAGGAAGTCTTATCACTCGACTTTGAAGGCCAGCATATGGGCTTAGGGGTTCAAGGGTGCCAAAAGAGTAATCGTAGGATGCTCAGCGAGAAAACGAAAGCTGCGCGGTTCCCCGCCTACTCGAAGTTCTCTTCTATCCTTACTTTGCTGGATCCATCTAGATGCTCAATACTAAGCCGATTTGTGCATGTCAGTGTGTGTCCAGCCCAAAGCCCCCGAAGATACCGAGCACCCAAAACCTGCAGCATTTTGCCTGTTGTCCTAACAACCTTAAACCCTTAACCCTAAACCTGTAGGTTTACCGCAGGACCCTGACAAGTTGACCGGTCGGAAGCCCAAGAGATTCTAGTCATGAACCTTAAACTTTGATCCCCAACCCTGACCCTGAACAGTGAGACTTTGAACTATGAAGATTTTGGCTTTTGCGCATATTACTTGATATAGTTTGGATTTCCTGAAATTTGATCAGGAGCCCGTATACGGATCAGATTTGCCGTCCTTCCTAACAGGGGCCCAGCATACACCGAACGCTTTGAGCGAACGAAGGTCCAACGTGCTTACACAGCCCGAAACCCTATAAACTCCAAAACCTAAACCCTACAGTAGACTCTAAACCCCGAAGCTTGCACACGAAGCCAAAAACCCCTAACCCTAGACTCTAAACCCTGAACCCAAAGCCCCAAATGTGAAGGGGAAAAGGTGGGACCCTTAGTGGGGACCTCTACCCTATAATGGGCTATATAATGCGTATAGAATAGCTATATTAAGGGTATATACCTAGGGGTCCTTATAAAAGGAATCCTAAACCCTAAACCCTAAACCCTTTATAGAACCCTTTTTGATCCCTTATACACCTAGGGGTCCTTATTAAGGGTCCCTCCTTTCACCCTTGGACAAATGTGAAGGAGACTGCAGACCTAAACCCTAACCGCAGACTTGAAAGCCCTAAACTGCCCTAAACCCTAGACTCTAAACGGCCCAAACCCTCAACCCCCCCCCCCCGAAGCCCCAAATGTGAAGGAGACTGCAGCGGCGAATGCCAATGAGGGAGATCAGGCTCGGATCTTTCCTTGTCTCTCTCTGCAGAGGCCCTGGTAGTGCATTTACTTAGGGAAAGGCATGAATAAGGCTTTGGGTTTTTTTTGTACCGTATATTCATAGTCTCTCTCTGCAGTGGTCCGCATAGTGCGTTACCAGGGGAACGACAAAAGGCCTGAATAGGGCTTTGGGCTATGTTGTACTGTAATTTAAAGGACCCTAAACCCCAAACCTAAACACCAAACCCTAAACCCTAAACAAAAAGCCACTCAGAGTATGGATTCTGGGGCTCTGGGACCCAGATCCCCTTAAGGGGATTGGAGCCCAAGACTCGGTTACCCTCGACGAGTTGACCATTGGTACTTGGAGGATCATGGGACTTAGTAAGTAAGGCTATAAATACCTTAATTGGGGTTATACGTAGTTATAAGTATAGTTATCCTTAATAGTAACCCTAGTTACTAAGTCCCATGACCCTTTAAGCACCCTCGACAGAATCCGGGTCAAGAGGTGCCAGCCGAAGTCCCTGGGTCTGAACTCCATCCATACGGTTGATGATACAAAGCCTGCGTTACCTTAATGGCCCTAGACTATGGGAATTGTGGTCTACTCCATATTATGGGAGATGCAGGATTTATATCATCAACCATAGGGGGTTGAGGCTTAGGGTTTAGGGTCTGGATTTCCCTGCAGACGTATGCCATTTATGCCCATACCCGATTTGGAGTATAAGAACCCGAACAGACAAGCCACAAAGGGCTGAGCCTTGCCATGAAGTTATTTCCTGCATCTTTTCAACTTGACCACAAAGCATGAGCACGGTCGTATCATGTACTCAGAAGGCTTCGAATTGAGATCCTTCCCCGTTTAGGGTTTAGGGAGGCTGGCGTTCTTGCTGTCATCAGCTGCTTCTCCTGCACTCTTGCTTAGAACGTGCTCGTCACATTATTTTTCTGACCGCGGGAGCCTCATATCGAACAAAGTCCTTAACCAAAGAAACCCCTAAACCGCCAAGCCCCTTATCCGCTAAACTAAAAGAGAGTTTGAGAATAGAGCGGACCGAAGTGATCGTAGGATTCTGATTATAGGCCTCCGGAAACCCCGAGCGGCGAGGGTTTCTTGTTGAGATCCAGGCGCCGAAACCCTAAGCCTTAAACGTTTTTAAAGATGCACTTAACAATAACAAATCCTAAAGCTTTAAGCCACAAAAACCCGAATCCCGAAAATGGACAGACCTTCAATTCAAGGAGCCTCGAAACCTTACAGCGCCAGCAGTCACGGATTGCCCTACAAGCCTATAAAACCCTAGCACACCCTTGCAAG